TTCCCTTTCTTTCCCTCCTTCTCTCGCTCTCTCTTCACTTTTTAATTATTATTATTATTATTTCATTTCGAGGGGGAGGAGGGGGGCGGAGTGGGAGGGAAGGGAGGTCTAGGAAGGGAAAAAAAAAAGAATTCCAAACGCAACTAGAAGCCTGATTTCTTTGTTTTTTGCTGGACACGACAGATCACGGGGAATACGAGTCCATGGCATTGGTGGCCCAAACTTTCTGGCAGTTGCCGCCGCTGCAGAGGGCTTGTCCCACCAACGTGCAGGTTTTCCCTGTCCCCGCAGCCAGCCCACACCCCCCTCATCCTCTCGGCTCTCACACTCCCTCACTCACTCCCTAATTTCTCCCTCTTTCTTTTTTTTTTTTTTTTTGTTTTGTGGTTTTTTTTCCTGCGTGTGCGTTTTTTAAATAATACTTTTCACTCCGCCGTTTTCTCCTCCTCCTCCTCCGCGCTGAGTTGCGAGGAGTTGAGCAATTTGTTCTCTTTTTTCCACTTCATGCGGCGGTTCTGGAACCAGATTTTGATCTGCCGCTCGGTCAGGCAGAGGGAGTGGGCGATCTCGATCCGCCGGCGCCGGGTCAGGTAGCGGTTGAAGTGGAATTCCTTCTCCAGCTCCAGCGTCTGGTAGCGGGTGTAGGTCTGGCGGCCTCGACGGCCGCTGGGCCCGAAGGAAGAACCTGTGACACCCGCGGGAAAAAAAAATAGGAGACAAATAGGAGACACGTAGGAGACAAATAGAGGGAAAAATAGGGGGAAACAGGGAGGGAAGGGGGGGGAGAAGGGGAATAAAGGACGCGGGAGAGCCAAAAGAAGGGAGAGCCCCGAGGTTTGGTGGGGCCGCGGGGCCGGCGGACAGGGCTGTGTGGCCGCTCCCCTGCCCTCCAAAGGCTTTGGCCAACTCCAAACGGAGCCCCCGCGGTCGCGGAGCCCCGAGAGGGTCCCCCGGCCGGGCCGCGGCCGCGGAGGAGCCGCAGCCGCGCAGGGAGGGGGGTTAAGGCTGCGCTCGCCGAGAGCGGGGAGACAGGGCGAGATCTATCTTATCCCGGCATGAAAAATCGCAAGGTGTTCTCGGCATCCCCCCCCTCGCCCGCCCTCGCTATTTTCCACCCTACCGGCAACTGTAATAGATCTGAGCATTTAAGCAATAATGAAGTGAATCGATCTGCCCAAACTCCGCATTAAAGAGGACACAACACTTTATGTCCCTGCGCTAATGGACATCAATTTGGAACTTAAAAGGCAACAAATGCATCTAAACATGGGAAGGAGGGTGGTGAGCCTCTATTATTTTTTCTCCCCCCCCCTCCCCAGTTGTTTTGGTTGTTGTTGTTTGGTGTTTTTTTTTT